AAATGAGTAAAAAATGGGTGGATGAATGGATGGTAAGTGAGTGTGAGTGTGCGTGGTTGTTGGTCCTTGTGTGTCTCTGTGTGGCCTTGCAATGGACTGGCGGACCGTCCAGGGTGTACCCCGCCTCTCGCCCATTGACTACTATGATAGGCTCCAGTCCCCCCACGACCCCATTAGCGAATAAGCGGTTACGATAATGGATGGATGGATGGATGAATGGATGGTAGTTTAGTAGATTTCAGCTATATTTTAAGATTCTGATTATACTGTCAAAAGGAACCATGTGCAGAGTAAACAAATTTGGTTCAGAATCCGGTTTGACTCAATAACTTATCATAGCATGTGAAAGAAACTTAATTGATTTATACACACGGACATTTACGACAGAAATAAGATTTAAAGCAGTTTGTTTTGTTTACTTTTAATTGTACACTTACTTCCCAGATGTTTTTTCTTTTCTTGGAGAGTTCATACTCTGAGACTGAAGTATCTTATTAACCACAAGAGCTATGAAAGTAAAGCTAATAAATTACTCAAATAGCTCCTGTTATGTATTAGTTTGTGTGGCACTTTATCCAACAGTTACAAAAATTACAGTGTGAACAATTCTTACAGTTTTATAAACTAACAATCAGTGCCAGTCAAATTATTGGGAGCAATTTCATCATAACTACTATCAATATTGACCAAAGCTATGAAGTCTGTGTGAACTCAACAAACTGGCATTTGACTTTAATTATAGTTGAACAACATTTACATTGATGTTACAGTGACACCAGCTAGAAGGAAGAGGTAGATAAAAATGGGATAACTCTGTGTTTTTCTGGTTTAACCATAAAGTCCTGTAGAAACTCTCTCTGCCTTGCTTTCATGAGAAACCATAAAAGTCCTGAGCTGGAGTAGAGCTGCAGCTGTGTCCGAGAAGCTGTGCGTCGACTTTCTCTGACACTAACTGATGTTTTACAGAGACAAACTGCAGAGAACAGCAGGATCTATCTGGACCAGCGCCCACATCTGGAGAAGATGAGAACGGAGGAATGGAAAAAAAGAGCAATGCTAGAATGGCAGGACGAATGAAGCTATGAATCTAATGAAAGAGTCCAGTACAGAAAAAGAAAGGAGTGAAAAGAAAAAGAGAACATAATCCAATAGGAAATATAGTAAATTAGGGTTGAAACACATCAGCTGATGTACAAATTATACGTTTGTGGTCCAGTGATATGATTAGTCCAATCAGTTAATCTGCTCCATTTTCTAATCAGGGCGGCATACCTTTCCAGCTTCAGGAACATCACTTACAGATGAACTTGAGTACGAACACTAAGTGGTGGATAGAAAGGTATGAGGTGTTTGGCTGAGATCTAAGCAGTGCCACACAGAGAATCCACTTCCATCTGAAACATAATGAGAGTGACAGACAGAGCGTGAGACAACCAGATTGGAAAAGAGTGTTTTTGAGAGGAGTAGAAAGGCAGGTAAATGATTAGCTCCAGTAAGCGATGGCTCCTCTTCTGACTAAGCCAGGGACTAATGTGTCTCTACGGACTAACAGCTCCAGGCCTGAGTCCTGGCTCAGATACTCGGCACGCTCTTCATGATTCCTTTTCACATAGTCCTCCCTTGGCTGAGGTGTTGGCTTTCTCTTAACAGTTGCATAGTGAATCAATTGCATACAAACTAGGTTGATCTGAGTAGCTTAATTTAATAGTGTTCTTACATTTCAGTTCAAGAAACTGGCAGGTGCTTAATCACAGTAGGAGATTTTGAAGTAAATTCAGATTTTTCCTTTCCATCGAAAAATTCCCCAGAAAGAAACTTATCACTTAAGCTGATTTTTTTTAATAGGTTGTGGTCGCCAAACTGGACAGGCATCTATTAAAGTTTTAAACTAGATATATTCTCTCAGACCGAGTCTCAAATAATCTAATTATTCAATTTACATTCTTCAAGTTAAAAGGACCAAAAACTAGGTTAAAGCAGTGTCAAAACTGGTTTAACGTTTATGAAACGCATTTTAAACCGTTCCAAATGAGGTAGTTTGGTTTGGTAATACTAGTTTTTTTGATAATATATCTGATGTTATGTGAATCATGCGCACGGTTTTGCTAAATGTAGCCCATTAGCCCAAATTGTGTATACATCTCAGCAAACCATTTTCCAAATGTCAACCTCTAATCAAAAAAATCTAGTGCTTTTCAGGCAACCACAAGTTGATCCTTTCTTCTGTAAAAAAAATGAGGGAAAATCAACATGCAAAACAACCGCTACTGTTCTTTTATTGAATAATGGTCGCAATGGGATGCAGTTTGTATTCCAGCTGGAATACAAAGATTGGCCGTAACAATCACACCAATATTCCCTTGCACATTGACCTTGCTTCATCCAAAGGGCTGACTCAGAGTGGAAGATTTGTTTCAGACCAGCACAAAAAGAACAAACACTAAAACGCAAGAAAGCTTTAGATGGTGACAGGCATGTGCTGTTGTCTGTATTTGTGTTGCTATGTACTTGGATGATTATGGCGGTAGGATGACTCCAGAGAGCACAATAAGGAAAAGTCATGCAGAGATGAGGCTGAGTTGCTGCCTCTGGATCAGAAAGCAGGCTCCAGTGTGGGATGGGTTCCTCTCTGGCAAACACCTTTGTCTGGGCTACCAGATTTAAGAAGACATGTTGAGTAAGGATGATTATGAGAATGATTTATTTGCTTCCAGAAATGTGTCATTGATTTGGAAGTTGAAATATGTAAAGTCAATGAAGAAAACAGAGGCAAAGTTAAGCGGATTTAAGGCATCTAATCTAAACCACCTGACTGGCCTGTGTAGATTAAATTGAGCATTGCTGGTATACATTTAGATGGATTGACAAGGTAAAAATATAAGACTGACAAAGCTGAATATTACATGCCTCAGTCACTGTAGGTCAGTTTGCTCTGCTCCACTTTCTTGAATATTGTGTTTTGTCATTACTGTTATGAATTAGAGATCAGTCTTTGTTGTGTCCCTCTGCTTTTATTTATGCCTTTTTTTCTGACTTTTCTGGTTTGGCAGCTGAAGTCTCCAGTGACACAACTGCTGTACTGTGTATAGTATGAAACCACGGAAAAACCCACATGATTACATCTTTAATTTCATAGCTCCCACAGTTTCTATGAAAAAGCATTTTCACAGATTTCTTGTACAACCCTGTGTTTGTCTTGCATGTTTTGGCAGCATGAGGAATCTGCACCATACTGCTTAGGGTTTTTAAAGTTTAGAGTGTGTGGAGAATCGATGTCTTGCTCTTCTTCTCGTTCCCAGCCTCGATGCAAATCCTTTCCCATCGCAGTCTCGGTTTAAGAAATTACTTCCAAGTGTGTTTCATGTATGCTATGTAACCACAGACCTTCAACAAACACGGTTACGTCTCCTCTCGTTCCTTATCCAGGCTTGGATCTGTCTCGGTCTTCTTTAGTGGGGATAGACATTAAAGGTTGAGGTGACGATGAAGTCATCCTATGACCAGGGGGCAGTCATGGGTGTTAAAATCCATTTAATTAGATTTGGTGGAAACGGATGGGGTCATCCTCATATGCAAACGGATGTGTTTGAGCTTGTGGGCCTTTCCAGTTCTCATCACCACAGGTGGCTAATCAATCACAGGCTGTTGGGAAGATACAGCAGAAACTCAGACATATGCCTAGATCCCAAAAGGTAGTGCTAGTCTCAACACTGAGCTCCATAGCAGGTCCAAGCAATGACCTAGAACTCCCAGGTGGAAATAGTGACCAACAGAAGAAGTACAGAGTACTGTCTAGCTTTGGTAATTCCAAGAACCCTCAAGGACCTGGTCTAATATTCCTGTTTTAATGTTATGTGAGAACAACAGTATGAGTTAAGGGGATTTTTTTTCTTTTTCTGTCAATAGCTAATATGTATGCATGATGATGAAGACATGTGTTGGTGGGACGGAAAGAGGATGTCTGTTTTGGTGGTCCTGTCCTCTGTGGGGTTCAGGGTCAGGGCAAGTTCAGATGTAGGATTCAGATGTGTGATGGAATCATTAAAGCATCTGATCCATACAGCTGCTCACAAAACTTAAAATTTGGTTTAAACAACAATGTCAGATTTCGCATCCCAACAGTCACTGTCTTCATGCTGATTTTAAGTTTCACATTTTTAAAGTCGGAATTATTAGGGAAAAAAAGGATCAGTTGAGTCTTAAACTGTTATACTGCCTCATGATTACAAATGTCTTAAATTCCCAGACTGAGCTGGGTGTCTGTGTATGATACCAAAACAAATTGTTTGTTCAAGTGGATCTAACAATCTCATAATGTAGATTCTTCGTTGATTCTGTGTGAGAAGAGACTGCATAAAGATGACGAAACATCCTAAGCCTCCATGTGTTTTGGCCTACCTTCAGGGTTTACTAATCTGAACAAGAATGCTATTTTCAATGAGCTATAAAAACATCACAGAACTTTATGGACTAGTTTATAATTTCCGTCAGAGAGTTATCCCATTCTTATCTACCTCTTTCCATTATTACTGCATGGGTTTACATGTCTAAGCATGGTGTGAGTAACCTCTGTATCACTGAAGGCTTCAATTATGCTGTATGATATTTACAGGCTTTAGTGAAGCGAGTTGCTATTCAAAAAGTGGATTTTTTTCAGGGAAGTTCTAGCTTTCTTCAGCAGAATAAGACCAGGTCGTTTGATGGATTTACATCGTTTCTCAAAATGTTCTCCTTGTTTGTAAAGGCCCTTACAGTTCCCCTCTGTTACATTGGTTACACAGCACCACCGGTATTTTACCTGTTTTACAAAAAACATCATTCGTCAGATTTATCGTCGTTGGTATTTTTTCATACCATATATCTATTATCTATAAAGGGGAATTGCTCTCACATATGCTCAGTTTTATAGTACTCTGGAAATCATAACAAGTTGTGCTATGGAGTGTGATATTTGGACAAGAGCAGATGTACAGACCTATGGGGTTACCGCAGTACGGGACATTATTGTGATAACAGAAAGTCCCTGAGCTCATATATAAAGAACTGTGACACATTTAGAGTTTCTTTCATCCATATTTTGGAATCTGCTGAGTGTGATGTCGGTCTCCCTTTTTGAAATGATTTTGGCTCAAAGGCTATATGACATATGTCCTTTTTTTGCCTCAGGTGTCAGCCACAGATGAGGACCGTGGTTCATTTGGTGCCATAGCCTACACCTTGACTTCAAGCAGTGGAGGCTTATTGCTGGCACCCTTTACCATCGACAAGGAGACTGGCCAGCTTTGCACAAGCACAGCTCTTGACAGGGATGAGGGATTGGACAAGTTTGATTTGACGGTCACTGCAACAGACGGAGTAAGTACATGTTTTATGTATATTATATAATTTATATTATATATATTATAATAAATTATATTATTATAATAAATATGTTATACACATATTTTCCCTAACCATAAGGCACATAAGGAGTACAACTACTGAGAAAACTTAATCCGATCAAAGGTTAAAGATGAGAGCACATTATATTTGTGCACAGTCCTGACTTTTTAAAAGTCAGGACATGTTTAAAGAGGACAGCTTCCTGTTGCTTTCAGGGAATAAAGTGGAACAACAGCATGGAAAAGTAATCAGAAGACAACACAAAATGAAGGGACCAAGTGGTAAAAAGCAGGAAAACAGATTTTGTAGCAAACCACATTTAAACACTCTCTGTTCAGGGGTCATCACAATAGTCACATGTACATGAAACAGTTAATGACAGTGAATGCACTTTAAAAGAAAGAAAACTGATTTCCACATATTCCCAGTTCAGTCCATCTAGTGCCTGCTCCCTATTGTCTGAGCTGTCCCTGTTTTTAATGGTCACATAAAACTAAGCCCACAAATGAATGAGTACAACTTCTTCATTTTGCTGATAGATGCATAAAGTGATTGAGTGGCTCCACATTTAGCAGGTCATCTAGTGAGGACTCATCTTTCTGGCATTATTTTTTAATTTCTCACAGCTGCTCATTTTTAAAGTGCACCCAAGATTTATTGTTTAAGCTCAACAACAAAAGCTTTGCATTGTCCTTTTTTCTCCAAGTCATGAAAAACTAATTTGATGTTGTCTGTGAAGATATACAGTGCAGGAAAATATGACAATTGTTTTGATGAAACAGCTATCCTTATAATTAAGAATCCCTTTATCTTAGCTAACTGGTAATGTCATCGGTGTCTGCTTCTAAGAGTTTGCCCATTCTGCTAACTTTAATTTGAAGGTGGAAAACCAAATCCAGACTGAATGTGTTATTCTTTTCTCTCACAGGGTGGACTGAGTTCAGTAGCTCGTGTAAGAGTCACAGTGTTGGACATTAATGACAACAGGCCCATCTTCTATCCAGTCCTGTATACTGTCAGTCTCAGTACCCATAGTGCACCAGGTACCTCCGTCGTCAAGGTAACAGCCAATGACCCCGATAATGGTGAAAATGGCAGGGTGACCTATCGCACTGTACCTGGAGGGGGCTCAACATTCTTCACCCTTAACAAGGACACAGGTGTGTGTGCGTGTGTCTTTGTTTCTGTGTTTTTTCCTCATTTAGTGTGCAATGTCACTTTTGTGCCAGAGTTATGAGAATGGCGATGTCTAAAAGACGTAGAATCACCTGTTGGTCTTGCTTTGCAGGAGTGATTTCTCTCTCTCGCTCACTCCATGGCAAAGCCAACACAGTCATCTCCATGGTGATATCAGCTGAGGATGGCGGTGGTTTGACGGCACCGGTCAATGCCCGGGTGAACGTGAGCGTGGTGGGTGGCTCTGTCGCATCTCCGGTGTTTGAACAAGCACAGTACTTTTTCACCGTGCCCGAGGATGTTCTGAGGGGAACAGCAGTGGGGACGGTCCGGGCTGCTACTAAGACAGGTGAGAAGACTTGTGACCACAAATGAATGTTTTTTATGTATTGTATTAGAATATCTTAACTCGTAGAGCGTACCTAATGTTTTGACACTTGCCTGGGGAGTAATGGAGAGATAATATTCCCTGTTAAAGTTTTGACGATTGGAAATTGTGTAGGAAGTTTCACCATTCAAGAAATCATATCAATCATTCAACTTTGGCTGTGTTTAAATGTATTCACAGTGCAACTAGAGTTTCAGTTTCACTGGAAAAATTAGTTTTGATGGAACTGTAATTTTGTAAGGGAGTCAGAATGATCACTGTTGTGTTAAAGAGATTCTCTTTAACACAACTATCTGAATTATTGTACTAGGTTTCTCTCACTCCCTTTGAGATGAAATATGAGCCAAGGTAAACACCACATTCATGTCTGTATGTAGATGTGCTTACTTTTTTTCCCATGTTGTGGATAAGTGTTCACTTTTACTTTACTTCATTTCTTTGCTCCTTTATGCAATTGTCATGCTCTCTAAAAGAGCAGTGTATATAATTAACTGACATTTAGCAGCCAAGTTGGATGATACTGACTACCTCAAATCATATCCATCTTCTCTCTAATCAGACTGTCGTGAAAAATAAGTCACCTGTCAAGAGACAAGCAAGTAAATAAGTTTGTTCCCTCTGTTTTGCATTCAGGTATATCTAAAGGCATCTTCTATTCCATCTCATCTGGAGACCCTGATGGCTATTTCACAGTGGACAGTGCTTCTGGCACAATTCGCACAGCTCTTCCTCTTGATCATGAAACCTGCTCCAGTCTTGACCTGGAGATCCAGGCCCGCTATGGCTCTCCTCCAGCCTATGGAACCAGCCGTGTGCGCGTAACCATCTCAGATGTAAATGACAATTCCCCTGCCTTCCTCCCTTCCTCATCAGAGTCCCTCCTTTTGCCTGAGATCACCAAAATGGGGACTGTCATCTACCGTATTCAGGCCACAGACAAAGACTCGGGTCACAATGGCCTGCTGAGCTTTGATTTAGTCTCTGCTGGAGCTGCGGGCAGCAGCGGCCAGAGGACGTTTGGTGTTGACCGCGGCAGTGGAGAAATACGTCTAATTGGAAGCCTCTCATACGAGAGTGTGCCGCGATATGATCTACAGGTGATTGCCAAGGACGGAGGAGCCCCTCAGCTCAGCTCAACCTTCACCCTTGTGGTCCACATACAAGCAGAAGATGCACAAGGCCCCAAATTTGACACCCTCACGTACCGAGTGGAGCTCCGGGAAAGCACACCCCTCAACACTCGTTTCCTCCAGGTCCGAGCACTCAACAGAGAGGCTTCTGGAAATGGTGGGAGCTCATCTTCTTCCTCCTCCCCCATTTCCTACCGCCTCAGGCCGGACGGAGATGCTGCCGGCTTCGGCATCTTGCCAGACAGTGGTTGGCTGTTTGTTCGCAGCTCTCTGGACAGAGAAGTGAAAGACATGTACCTGCTGACTGTTCTTGCCACGTCACGCTCCGGGGGAGCAGGGAGAACCGGCAGCGCAGCTGTCAGAGTGACTGTGACCGATGAGAATGACAACTCCCCGAGACTGAGCCAGGAGAGGGTGTTCCTGGCAGTAAGGGAGAACCTGCTGGCAGGGACAGGCTTTGGCAGAGTGTCTGCTACAGACAGAGATGCGGGCCTGAATGCTCGGCTCACCTACAAGCTGCTGCACTCAGACAGACACTTTCAGATCAACTCGCAAACAGGTGACAATAAGCAAGATAACCACAGCTTAGCTTACTTACGTTATCCTAATTTAATGATAGATTTGAAAGTTTTTATTTGAATTGGGATTTTCCAGATATCTACACAAATATTCACAACCTACTTGCACTGTCCCACTTAAGTCACGGAAGTTGACCCTAAGTAAATGTATGTTTCGTTTCAGGCGAGATCAGCACCCGCGTTGCCCTGGACAGAGAGCAGCAGTCCAGCTACCAGCTTATTGTGGTTGTACAGGATGGAGGTACCCCTCCCCGCAGTGCCACTGGTACCGCTCATATCACGGTGCTGGATGAAAATGACCATGCCCCGGTTTTCTCTCATGTCAGGCCTGACAGAGAACTGCTGTTTCAGGTAGGAATGGAGGAGCAAAGTAGAACAGATCACACAGGGGAAGATCTTTCATAGTTACACTTGAGCTTTAATCTATCTGCCTGGCAGCGCTGTAAGTTCCTTTCAAACAATCTTTTTTGTTATTTCCAAGACCTAAACTTTGACCTTAGTTAGCAAAGAGAGTCATTTAGAAGATTGAAGAATATTTAATTACTGTAACAGAAATTACAGCGCAAAGGCAGATGCTATTGATATACCTTATGTAGGTGCTATGGTTTAGAACAGTGAGAATATCAATAACCACCTTTTTAAACACTGCAGGTAACTGAAGGCCTTCCGTCTGGCACTGTGGTTGGGACAGTGATAGCCAAAGACCCAGATGAGGGGGAGAATGGAACCGTATATTACTCCTTATCGGGTGAGTCATGAAAATCATGAAACAGTTGCATGTCACTGGTGTCGTTGTTTTTTTTATTTCTTGACTGGCTTTCCTTTACGTTGATTCAAGGCTCCAGAGCCGAGCGCTTCTCCCTCAACCCCACCAGCGGCGAGCTCAGAACCGCTTCCCCCTTGAGATGGGCAGAACGAGCAGAGTATGTCTTCACTGTGACTGCAGCTGACCACGGCACACCAGGCCTCAGCTCTGCCTGCCAGATACGAATACAGGTAAAGATGGCCTGGAATATTTTTTAAACACTCATCACCTTTCCATGTGTCTCAAAGCCACCTCTTGGGTATTTCATGGCTGGAACAAAAAGCCATTCTGGCTAGCTCATTTGTAACGGTCTCATCTGCACACTGCCTCAAACCTTTTGCATTGCTTACTCTGGGCAATTTCCTCGATCAGTGCTCACAATGAACAGTGTAACTGTCAAAGGAGCTGGAAGGGGAGGTAAAAATGAGAAGAAGGGAAGCTGAATGTATGCCTATGTAAACAAAAGCATGTATCCAATCTAGAATGTGTTTCCTGATCCAGAGGTCAGCAGGGTAACCTAAACCAACAGTGCAAAACCCTGAGCTATGAGTTTGCTGGGCTATACTGAGCTAATTTACTGAACCTTCTATTAGAATGTCAATCCTCCATATCAGCATACAATATCAGGAATTCAACAGCAGTCGAAAAATGTCTGCTGGAGAAGGGTGGTGGCTTGCTTTGACTGTCGGGAGCTCCGTGTATGTGTGTGTGTGCGCGATGTGATTTCAGAAAGGAAAGGGATGTTAATTGCAGTGGGAGTGCTTGCCTTAGATTTCACTTGTGCGCTGCTTGTGTGACAGTGTGATTAGACAGAGGGGAAACAGGCACCTTGGAATCAAATGCTCCCAGATGAGATTTGATGAGAGCCAGCTGCATCGAATCACACAAACGGAAAGAGAACACACACCACTGTACAGTAGCAGGCACTGATACACACAACAGCACAGAGACATTTGCATAAGGTAACATGTCAAATCAATGATTATGAGATATACATGGCTATAGATTAAATCAGGAGCAGAGATATTTTTTGTATACTGAAGTATTTGTAGTAGATTATATGTAATGGAAAAGTAGCAGGGGGTAGAAAACACATCAACACTGCTACATGGGCCATAGCACTGGGAAATAATTTAATAAGCTAATATTTTCTTAGGGAAATAACTTCTAGTTCCTATGTAGTATTGCCTTTCTGTGAATAATTTGGTACAGCTTAAACCAACTACAACTATAGTCAACTAAAGCTTTTCCAACTCTGTCTTCTTTGTTTGCCCAGTGTATGTAAACTATAGGCATAATCCACATCACTTCCTTCTTATTGTAGACTTCTCCTTTATTATGACACCAGGAAAAATCTAGATTGTTGCAGCATGAATACATTTTGACAGAAGGTTTATGTGGATGGTTAAAATCTTGTTTGCTGTCTTCTGAGCTTTTTGAGGTATTCCAGAACAAAACAGACCCTGGGGCTGTTCAATGTATTGAAGCCCCTCTGGCACATATTTGTTTCCCCTTATCCCAAACAGAAACATATGGAGGTTGGTTGTTGCCGTGCATTATTTGAAGTATTTACAGATTCCCCAGTATCACACCCATCATTCTTCTGTTTAGGTCACAGACCCTGACTCATGTTAAAGCCAAAATGCCACAGTGTCAAGATATTTACTGGAAGGATTACACATAAGGCCTTCATGTACAATGGAAATGCCTGAGAGGGTTATTATTGTAATGACAACAAAACAGAAACAGACTACAGCCCAAGGCCATGTTTAGGCGTGGGTTGGGATGAAAGACACATAGCTGCTCTTTCTGCAGAGTATCAAAGGAAATCTGATCAGCACTTGCCTTTAGGAAATGTTTCTATACCTCAATGTAATGATATCAATTTCAGAGAAATTTGTAGTTGTAAAACTTAAAGAATCCAGATGATTGCAATCTCCATCATCATAAAGGTGATACATTTACTTCAACTACTCAAAGAAGGATTGAATTTGACTATTTTTCTTTTCCTTAGGTTCTCAGCTCCTCCAGGTCCATCCCAAAGCCCAATGTCCTTTCTATGATCCTGAACACGGTTGAAGGGGCCCCTCCAGGATCGATCATCGGTTCGGTTCGCTCACGCGACCAGCATGAGTCAGCTGTTCTGGAAGGCCAGGTGACCTACCTGGTCGTGGGAGGGACAGACCACGATGGGACCTTCATGGTAGACCGTTTAAAGGGTGACGTGTACCTGGTGCGTGAGCTGGACTACGAGAAAGGATCGAGATATACGCTGCACATCGAGGTGTCTGACTTCTCCCAGGCATTTCCGAGCAGCCACCTTGTGAAACTGGATATCAACGTGCAGGACAGCAATGACCATGCCCCACAGTTTTTAGAAGACCCCATTACCATTGTGATTGCCGAGAACTTAGAGCCAGGAACTTCTATACACACATTCCAGGCTGTGGATCAGGTGGGAAAGTGTAACAGTAACTCTAATGCTGTGTCATTTTACAATAACTGTATTTACAATGTACAAGCATAGTTTTAACCTACACTCATGTCGACTGTTAATTTTTGGCTTCTGTATATATTTGCTTTTATACAGGATGGCAGTGGACCAAACAGTGAACTCCACTACTCCATTGAGCATCACTGGCCTGACACTCCTGACCTCTTGACCCTTGACCCAACTAGTGGAGTCCTGAGCCTGGGACAGAAGTTAGATCGTGAAACCACGCCCTCCCTCTACCTTGTGGTGCGGGCTACAGACCAGGCAGTGGATCCCTCTCAGAGGCGGTGGGGATCAGTGACCGCTCGACTGTTTGTAACAGATGAAAATGACAACGCTCCAGTTTTCAGCTCCCCATCTGCGGTCAGCGTCATGGAGGATCAACCTGTAGGGTGAGTCCATGAGTCGTCATACAGAAAGGGAACATCCACGAAGCCCCCAGAAATAATAAACGTTTCTATTAACCTGATTTTACAACTCTATGTTTTAAGATTCCCATCGTTGTTGTTTTGTTATAATGTTACATTATCATTGTGTCTTTACTGGCAGGTTTGTAATCTTGTACGTTATGGCACGAGATGCAGATGAAGGAGAAAATGGCAGAGTGTCATACAGAATCCAAGCAGGCAACAGCGCTGGTCGCTTCAGTTTGAACCCCAACACTGGTACGTTTATTTTTAAGGGCTAAGACAAATGAAAAATACCATAATGGGGAACTTTCTGTGCTCTTTGCACATCATCATATTAAACTAAATTCACTCCGTAACATCTGTTTTTGTAGTTGAGGATGCAGCTTTTTTCTTCCTTTGGGAATTCATGATATAGACAGATAAACAATTTGCATCCCACCCATACAAGCCACATAGATGAATAAAACTTTCCAGAAGATCATGAATACACACGTCCATGCTGCATCTATAAGGTTTTAACCATAGGGTTTAATAAACCCTCATAACCATTCTTACGTAAAGATCATTCCATGCCTTAGGGCAATCTTTAACTTCAGTTACGCTTTGATGTATCTTTCTTGATGGATTTTTTTCATGGGAGCCTTTTTTTTATTTGGGCCATAGGGATGTAGACGGCCTTTAAAATTTCATAAACGTTCATGTGTAGTCTCTTCATTGCATGCTTAGCTCGTACTGAAAAGGGATTAAGATACATATAACAGACACATAATGCAGTCTCCAGAAGGAGGAAAGTTTTTACGTAATTTCTGTCATATGTGTGATGGGTTGATTTCACTTCAGTTTTGGTTTTCAGGCTATGTGTTGTTAAGCTTGTGGTTAAGAAGAGCTGTAATGGCAGATTAGCCTGTATTGTGTAAAAGTTTGCAAAGATGCCTGGCTAATAAGGGGAGTGTCATTACACTGATTGCCTGTAAATGGCATGCCTGCTCTGCCAGCTTTGTGTTACTTCACAATACTTTTGGTTCACTGCTGGTTTTAGGAACATTCTCAAAGACTGTATATCTTCTGGGTTACTTCTTTTTTACCCAAACAGCTAAAGAATGAAAGATAAAAACTACTTGTACCGATTCTTTCCCCTTCTTCTTGATTGGGAGGTAATTGTACGCCGCATAATATCTTATTAAAATCCTTCATTCAATTCTTATGGCTGCACCCAAGCAAACTGGAGTATTTCCATTTAATTTCTTTTCATGTCATTCACTGGTGGAAAAAAGGTGGCATCCAGTTATTGATATTGCATCAGTAAAGTTAATCCGGCTCGATAGGGCCCTTTTTAGTCCATCTTTTCCCCTGTGTCTGCTTTTGAGAAACAGACTAGGTAGAGAGACCTCACAGAAATATCAGAGCCTCAGCCTCACCAAACAGTCTGCACACAGTATGTGTTTGAAATCCTGTGGCATTATAAATTACATGTCTCTTAGGCACAGCAGACTGTACACATACACACACACTTAGAGTTTCCTCTCACTTTGGCTGTCCCTTCTTGTAGTATGATAACAGGGCAGTGGGATAAAGACATAAAAGGTAACTAAAGCCAGAGTCTGTGTTGTGGAAGTCCAATTCACAGACTCCATGTGAAATGGCATGATTTGCATGAGATACACACATACACATACCGGCTTGTGCAGCACAGATTTAAAGGCAAACTGATTTAAATGCGTGTTCCAAGTGCCAGAACTAAATATTTGCTAGGAAGTGACCGTTCTCTCCTCTTACTTTGGAAAATCTAATAAAACAAATCTGCAGAAGTTCTTATTTTTACTAGACCTTAAGGCATAGAAATACTGCTGCTTGCAAGAAGAAAAACTAGATATTCAATAGCTACTGAAGCACACGCTCAGACACAAAAATAGCAAGACTTAGGGTTACACACTAAATTAGAAATTAAGTTTCAAGACAAAATATGACATTTTTACCGGGTTTCATTCACTCTGATTTAATTTTCTCTGTTCCAGGCTCTTTTTCCATCCTTAAAGCTCTGGACCGTGAAGAACAAGACATTTTCAATCTCACAATTGTTGCAGAGGATCATGGAATACCTCAACTTTCCACCTCTCAGGTGCTATGTGTGCAGGTCATTGATGTGAATGATGAGGCTCCAGTTTTTCAAAAAGCTGAGTTCGTGACCCAGGTGATGGAAAACAAAGGACCGGGAACCACAGTGCTGACAGTATCTGCCACTGACCGGGACCAAGGTTGGTTCAAAGAGGCCATCAGATGAAAATCAAGATTTTACCATTCATATGGATTCTTAACAAGAAAAACGCAAGTTGATTAAGCAGGTTTTAATTGTATGTTATCACACCCCTAAATATTAAGCAAAGGAACAAAGGTATTGATTAACATCTAACACTTTTTGTGCCCAGAAGTTGTGCACTGAGAATAAATATCTTTACATTTTCTTTAGATTAACGGAGATTATATATTTTGTCTGTCAAACCAAAGCTTTAAAATCTTTTAGTTAGGATTTACTACCAGCACTATGCAACTTCATCATGGTGTGCGTTGCCTGTAATTTTCAATGCAGGTTCCAATGGCCAGATAAGATATGGAGGTGTGACTGAAGATGGCTTCATCATCCATCCTATGACAGGAGTCATCACTACCACAAAGGAGCTTGATGCAGAACTACAAGATCACTATACACTAACCGGTACTAAAAATTAATTTTCATTGTGTCAGCTCTAGTTGAAATACCCCAAGTGCTTCAATGTTCAGTTAGTTTAACGCTTCTTATCTCTTACAAGTGTACGCCCGGGATGGAGGGGTTCCTCCTAACTTTGCAAAAGCCGTGGTCCGAGTTGAGGTGCAGGATGTGAATGACAACGCGCCAGCCTTTGCTAAGCTGTGGTATGAACTTGAGGTGCCAGAAAACCAACCACCTGTGGAGCTTTGCTTTCTCAAGGCTACAGACCCTGACTCAGGTCCCGGGGGGGAACTGGAGTACAGAATCACCGGTGAGAAATCCAGAGTTTAAGAGATAATGTAGATCCCCAGAGCTCCTCTGTTGTTAAATGTTGAATATTTGTCATTCTTGCTAACACCTGTACACATTCTGTTAACTGCAGTTTTCCATGATTAGTTTGACATAGCAGAGGTCCAGCAGAATTACTAATATAGCCGAGACACAAGCTTTGACTAGAATGTTCCTTTCATATGGGAGATAAGATCTTTACACAGTGACCCCAGGCTTGCCTTGTATATTGTATTATTAAAAATAGCACAGTATATTCTGCGGCTCTTGAAAACATTTAGATTAACTTCAGTGCAGGGTTGGCGCACATATCCCCTTTATGTTCTTTATCAGAAAATTAAAAAACTGAAAATGCTTTTCTACCATCTTCCTCCATCTAGCAGGTGATCCTGATCGGGATTTCCAGCTACACACCAACACAGGAGCCCTATCCACCTCACGTAGGCTGGACAGGGAGACAAAGGCAGAGTATAAACTTGAGGTGGTGGCCGCGGACCGTGGCAGCCCGGCCTTCAGTGCCACTGTCACAGTGCAAGTCAAAGTTCTGGATGTCAACGACAACAGCCCCGTCTTCAGCAAAAGCAGCTACACAGCAGAAGTTTCAGAGGATGCTGCAGAAGGAATCCAAGTCCTCGAGGCAAGTAAAAATAGAAGAGAACACTTATTTTGTAGGCATTTTATTGCTATAAGCTTGACTGTATTGTCTTCTTTCTTTCCAGGTGTCAGCAAAAGATGCCGATGAGGGATTTAATGGGAGGATTCTATATTTCCTCAGCCAGGAGGCACATGGAGCATTTTCGGTGGACGAGAACACTGGTGTTATCACCACATCAGCCCCTCTTGACAGGGAACGACTGGCATTGTATAGCTTCCAGGTGTTTGCAGTGGATCTTTCACCTGCTGCACCTAAGAACTCATCTGCTCAGGTAAAGGGCTTAAAAACTCTTCTATCTATGAGTTAGTGTGTTCTGATTATGTGCTATCTTTTATCCCTTATGTCTATCAATTTATCAAGGACCTTTTCACTTTACCTCCATTATGTCTGTTTAATAGGTGACTGTCACTCTCATTGATGTCAACGACAACGCTCCCTTTTTCATCCAAGATCCATTGATCATTGAAGTCTCTAGCAGACGTTCCCAGCGGGTCTTAGCCACCATGAAAGCTGAGGACAAGGACTTTGGAGCCAATGGTTCTGTGTTTTATCGTTTTGCCACCCCAGTGAAGGGCTTTAGTATCAACTCTCTTACTGGGGAAATTCAGGCCACTCAACCACTGGGAGAGTTGACCCAGGCTCAGAGGACCCTGATAGTGGAAGCCATGGACCAAGGTAGCCCAGCTCAGTCTGCACAAGGAGTGGTGGTGATTTATGTTAAGGAAGTGGAGTACAGTGGCATTAAATTCTCTAGAAATGCAAGAGATGTCAGCATACAGGAGAATGCTGCAAAAGGTAGGAGATCATTTTTAGGAATTGTGAAGATTACAGTTTTTTTCTTTCTGTTAGTAATTATGTTCTCTGCTGTAACCATTGACATTTATCTTCGCTTGTTTTTCAGGAACAGCTGTTGCTCAAGCTCAGGCCCAATATCCAGATGGTACACATACAGGGATTAGCTACAGCCTCTTCAGCGGAAACCGAAAGCAGGCTTTCACCATCAGCTCCTCAACAGGTGAAATTGAAATATTATTATATTATTATTTAATGCAGCATGTGTCATCAAATTAAATGCAAGTTGTTAATGAGAAGTCTTCACACACAAACAGAGACGTCTGAGATCTCCCATTCCTCAGCACTCAGTTGTTTCTTTCTTTATCTGTCTGTGCTCCAGGTGAAATCTGGGTTCAGAGCTCTAAGGGACTGGACTTTGAAGACACACCTAGACTCCGTTTAGTTATAAAGGCTGCAACCATGTCCTCCACATCTTTCATGGCTATCAACTTGGTCCTGCAGGATGTCAATGACAATCTTCCTCGCTTTCATCTGCAAAACTATGTGGCCTACATGAAAGAAGCACAAGGATATGAAATGCCAATCATACGGGTGCATACAAATATAAGAATATAAAGTCTTATAATAATCCACTGTGCTATGGCTTAAATAAAGTGTATATGTGCTCTAATTAACCCCCCCCCCCATTTTCCTAGGTGGTGGCTGAGGATGTGGATCAAGGCCAAAATGGTCAGGTGACATACTCCATTCAGTCATCAAGCATGAGCGGCCTGTTCAAGATTGACCCTGTGACAGGAAGCATCACCACAGCAGCTATCATGGACCGTGAGATCTTTACACAGACCAAGTGAGGCGAATTTACGGTTGTCTAATCTGTATATTTGTCTAATCAAGGTGTGGCTTTTTTGGTTAAACTGTGTGCTTTAAATTAGATTTACTCACAGGTAAACATACAGCACCAGTAAAAAGTTTGGAAACATGCACTCTTTCATAATGAATGGAAAAGTGTTTCCCAACTTTTAACTGGTACTGTACTTGGAAGGAAAACTCTGACCTTGCTACACAATGATTTATATTCACTCAGCCAAACTGTGCTTATGTAGCTGCAGAGGAAATTGACATCGTCAGCTGAAGTTATAAGAAATACTGAAAACGTGTATCTGCATGCCAGATGTACCCAAGATCATTTTTCTCTACCATGGCTATAGCTCAAGAAATAACCCCGTATAATGAAACATCTTCATAACGTTTTGAATATTGCTTTTGTTGCAAAATGAGAAACAAATGTAAAGAAATTCTTTGTTTTATGTGTTCCCCCTCCACAGGCTAGTCGTTACTGCAACTGATAGAGGAAGTCCACGATTGGCTGGCTCAGCCACACTCACAGTGATAATTGTTGACCAAAATGACAACAGTCCCACTATACCCTTGCCCCAGGAGATTCGCATCCCTGAGAGTAAGCGTTGTGTTTTAAATCAGTTGTTTGGTCCACGAGTTATGCTGAATGCAACTGACAGCTTATGTTCAATTTTCCTGTTTGGCAGATACTTTGATAGGTACAGAGATCACCCTTGTGACAGGCAATGATGTTGACTCCAGCCCAGCTCTCTCCTACTCCTTGCATCTGGACCCAACATCCTTAGGCAAGTTTGGGATTCATCGTTACAGTGGAGGCGTGTCACTCACCGGCCCTCTGGACTTTGAGGAGAAGACCTGGTACACCCTGACTGTTCAAGCTACAGACAGCCAGCACCAGACTGAGGCTAACATTACTATAGTGGTGGAGGACGTCAATGACAATGCGCCCGCATTCACTCATGACCTCTATCAGGTTGGTCTGCCTATATAGTAAGTCAAGATAATGTGCCTTTTCCCACCACCACATGCATACATTCCCAATGTATCATACAAAAACAAGAAAGCAGTTGCTCTAAACTATAAACTTAATGGAGAGTTTCCACTGAATGCACTTCTAGAAGTGCACAATGGGTGTTAACATTTCCAATATATTCACACCTCCAAAGGTTTGATGGCAAAATAAATTTTATTCAGAAGCTGTTTCGCTCCAGCACTCCTACTAAGATGCAGTTATAGACCTGGATCACACTGCAAAAACACATATGCCTATTCCCAACTTGCATTCAACTTGTGGGTGATAAAAGTTTACTGCCTAAAATTAACAGGGGAAAGGTTGTGGAGATGAGCCTATATAAACTGTCAGGAAATTACCTCAGCATTAGCACGCACGCAGAAAAAACATGAACCGCATTATAAAATGCATTTATTTCCCACTTGTGTTTTTTCTCCCCTTTAACACACGATTTGGAGATTTACTGCAATATCTATGTGATGTTTCTTTAGCCCTGATGCTGAAATGTTGCTAAAACATGCATTTTTGCACACTAGATTACGTTGCCTGAGCACACACCAGCTGGCAGTGCAGTTATCACAGTAACAGCAACTGACAGGGATTCCGGAGAGAACGGAAAAATAACCTACAGAGTGATGTCATCAACTCAGGAGGGTTTCTATGTTGATCCCAACAATGGTAAATAAGTCTATACTGTATATTTTAATATACTGCATCCCAACTTTGATCCCCATGAGATTTTTCCACAATGACATAATCAAAATTCTTTCTGTATCAAGGAACCCTGTTCATCAATCACAGAGCTGAGTTTGATCCTGAACGTCTTTCAGTCAACATTGTTATAGAAGCTTGCGATGGAGGCTCCCCTCCTCTCTCCTCTCTGGCCACAGTTCAGGTTCAAATCTCTGACGTCAATGACAACGCTCCTGTGTTTCACCACTCAGAGTACAGGTCAGTTAATGTTCTACACACAACTGATATGTACTGTGATGTAACCTCAGCAACATTTTTAGATGCATTTTTGTGTGAATGCAGGGCCACAGTTTCTGAGGACACCATCCCAGGGTCAACAGTTTTGACTTTTGAGGCCTTTGACAGTGACCTCTCTCGGGAAAACTGTGGCTTCGACTTTGCCATTGCCAACGGGAATGAGGGAAACGTATTTCAGATTGAAAGCAGCGTGCGGTACCTGGAAGGGCGTGGCTTTCAGACAGTGGGAACTCTTCTGTTGGCTGAACTGCTTGACTTTGAGACCAAGCCATTTTACAACCTCACTCTGGTGGTGTCAGACCGCGGTGTGCCCCAGAGGAGCTCCAATGTGGCAGCATTGATAACCGTTGCTGATGTGAATGACAACCCTCCACTGTTCAGCAGAGCAGAATACACTGTCTCTCTCAGTGAGGGAGCTCCTTCTGGCACTGAGATTATACGACTGACAGCTACAGGTAGGCAAATATACTGTATATGTTTGACCAAAGTTCTTTTCTCCTTCATTATGTCATTAAGCCCATTAATTCTGATTCTTTCTTGGATTTTTCTTTTTTTTTGACAGACCCAGACTCTACTCCCAATGCTGAGGTCCAGTATAGTATCAGCTCTGGTGATGAGGTTAACTTGTTTTCTATTGACCAGTGGACCGGTGCCTTACGCATTCAGAGAGCACTTGATCGTGAGCATCAATCAACACATATTGTCATTATTCAAGCCACAGATGGACTGGGTCACTTTGCTCTTGCTCCTGTCATTGTTGAGGTCAAAGATATAAATGACAACCACCCATTTTTCCCCGTGGAGGTCCTGACAGCAAGTATCAGAGAAAACCAACCAGCAAACTCAGCTGTGACTGTTCTTCATGCCATAGACCATGACACAGGAGTTTTTGGCCAACTTAAGTACTACATGGTGGAGAGGTCGGGGGCTGGAAAAGACAGCTTTGCTGTTGACCAGAATTCCGGAGAAATACGGAGCAAAATTCCATTTGACTTTGAGAAGATCAACTCATTTAATTTTGTGGCATTGGCGGTAGATTCAGGCAACCACTCAGCCACTGTGACTGTACAGGTGTTCGTCACAGGTGAGGATGAGTATGACCCACTTTTCACATCCAATGATTTTTCTTTTGAAGTCCCAGAGGGAGCCAAGAAGGGCCAGAGCATTGGCCAGCTCCAAGCAGATGATGAGGATGGAGGAGTGGATGGCATCGTTCTTTACTCTCTAACCTCCAATTCACCATTTTTTGACATAAACAAAACCACTGGGGTGATTTTCCTCAAGTTGGACAGTTCAGGCAGCAGCGCTGGGTCTGGCCGGGCTAAACATGAAACTAGGACAATGACCCTGGATGTAAAAGCTCACAGTCCCCTAGACACATCTCGCACTACAACGGCCCAGATTTCCATCGATGTTACCAACACCAACTTTGGCCTGGCTGCCGACGTCAACATCCTGCTTATTAGCATAATTGCTGTGTCTCTTGGGTTTATCATATTACTTGTAGTCATGGCTGTTGTAGTGTTCCTGGTCAAGTCACGCAGGAGGAAGAAAGGTCAGGATACAGGAAACCGCACTGTTGCCTCAGGAACTGCCATGAAGAAACTTGACGAGTGCAACCCAGGACCAGGAGGAGATAATATCTATCACCAAGCCTTGCCAGGTTATTCTGGAGAACAGGGTGGGGCTGGTGGAGGACCCTACACTAGAGGAGGCTCCTTGGATCCATCTCACTCCAGTGGAAGAGGATCAGCCGAGGCAGCAGAAGATGATGAAATCAGAATGATAAATGAGTACCCCCGTGTAGCCTCCATCACTTCGTCCATGCAGGAACACATCTCGGCCAGAGGGCCAGACTCTGGAATCCAGCAGGATGCTGACCAGCTCTCTGATATCTCCTGTGAACCTGCCGCTTTGGAGGGCAGTACCTGGTTCAAAGGCAAGAAACTGGGAGGCAGTCTTAGTGGGACATTGCTTTCTGGACAGCTCCCTGTCTATAGGGATGAGGGAGGAGGTTACCTGGGAGTAGGCCGTGGATTGAACATTTCGCTTCCCAAGGACTATGCCTTCCCTGAGGATGGAAAACCTTCTGTGGATGGTTCCCTCACCGCTATTGTTGCCAGTGATGAGGAACTTCGTGGGAGCTATAATTGGGATTATCTTCTTAACTGGTGCCCACAGTTCCAACCTCTTGCTAATGTCTTTACAGAGATTGCCAGGCTGAAAGATGAAACTGCTCAGCAGAGTCAAAACCCTCGCCAACCCTTCCAACCCAAACCGAAAATAGATCCTAAACCAAGAATTGACCCTCCACCACTTATCACATCAGTGGCCCACCCGGGTGCCATGTCAGTTCCTCCAAAAGTTCCTGTGATTGGGCGGACATTCCCCCATTTGGCCTCACTCCGCAGGTCCCCTATAAGTCACGAGGGATCAATTTCATCTGCAGCAATGTCACCAAGTTTCTCCCCTTCATTGTCTCCACTGGCTGCCAGATCTCCAGCTGTTTCCCCATTTGGAGTTAACCAAGGGCCCTCAGCGTCCATGATCAGCACCAGGGAGCCATCACTAGACCACAGTCCCGATCACGAGATGAGAATATGAACGAGATACCACCGAAACTTTCAAGAAAGATATTTAAGATAGACTGATGTTGTTTTGTAAGTTAGTTGTCGTGTGACTGAAGGATTCCTAAAATGCCCTGAGAGACATTTGTTCCAGGCCTATTGCCAGTGACTTATGGGCAATAAAATCGCTCACAAAGACAAACTTAACCTTCTGCTGTTTGAATATTTTCATTACTTCTTCCAGTCATTGGCAGAGTTGCAGGAACACACAAAAGTGGAAATGTACTTGGTTTGACAAGACCAGTTCACACTTCCATTTTCACCGAGACGCAGGTCTCCATGAACTGATCAGGGTCAGGAGGTAAACTGAACTCTACGTGGGAGCATGTACTCACCGAGCCCTGCAGTCAGAGATCCCTTAGTGTGTAGATAAATAATTGTGTAGTTTTCTTGTTACCTCACTGGCTGGCCAGAGAGCTAAGGACCTTGTCCCTCTCTTTGTGTCTGTGGACATTTTTTACACAACAGTATTAAACTCCCGCAATGGCTGCTTTCGAAATGGCCTCGGGACACGGGCAAAAAAAACTGTGTTCACAAGGACTCCAACGAAATGAATTGCCAAGTCATAGCCCAGTTGGAGAGTGATTGAGATTGTCGTTTTTTTTCTCACCAATACAAATGACCCCTCTTTTGGTTTTACTTTTATTTTTATATTTTTGTATGATTTAAGAACTATTATTTTACCATGAGAGGTTATTGGTTTTGTGTATTTGCATATATGTATATGAGTATGTATGCAGGCTATGCTATGTACTGTAAGTGTCTCTTGTGACAGTTCTGATGTGTGTGCGTGGGAGATATTTGTTTTTAGCATTATTTATACGAAAAGATGATTTTCCGCCACAATTCGACAATAGGAAACAGAGCACATGATGTGTTGTTACCTTAAGATGTGTTCCTTTTTTTTGTCAAAGTGTTGATCATCCCAAAATCAAAACAGCAGCTGGATAAAAATCAGTCGCCAAGAAATAGATGCCTGCTTTTCCAGTTGATCATTCAGCCGTGGTGTGCCCTTTTGCATAATGGCAGATTAATTGTTGATGACCTCCTTTGTGAAATTGTGCTTCCTTAACTCAGCTACACCAGTCATTAGTTTAAATGTTTTACTGTGAAGTGGTGCATCTCAGCTTAATGGAAACAGCAGGAACACAGTGCTGAGATTCTCTCTGGAAAGTGGCATACGTTGGAGAAATGTAGCATATGAGCCAAGCAAGTGGGAAGCAAAACCCCTCAGTGCATGAATGTACAATGATTAAGCAACTGGTGCAGTATTTATATAACTTGTTAAGTCTCATTTTTGTTTGTTTATTTCATTAATAATTATCTTTAGCCACAAAAATGAGGTATTTTCAGGTCCCACATGTTTTCACTCATCTGCACTGTTTCTCATATTCAAGTTTTGTAAGCCAAAGGTCTCTGAGAGTATCTTTGTCCATCTTTCATGTGCATTTATTATTCTGGCCTGTTTTTTATTAAATGAGGCAAGCGTAGTGACAGAATGTCTTCTTGTTTTCAAGAAATGGCTTATACCCTTGTTCTGTGATCAACTTACCCCACCAAGAAGCCTTGCACAAAGCTGGCACTGGTTTGGCTTAAGGCTACATACGCCATCAGCCAAACTCTTGCACAAAACGTTCTTGAGCTGTTGTCATATTGAAAATTTCTGGAAAGGAAAGCCTCAATTTTAGGTTCAATGACTGATCCAGCGACTGATCTAAGCCAGTGACTGATCAATGGAGATATGTCCTAAAAAAGAGCTGTACATGTATTCAAAGCAAATAATAAATTCCTACTGATCTCTTTTGGCAAACCGGAGTTGGACTAAATCTTTTTCAGGATTCAACTTAGAGGTATGTAAACTTACAACGTCTGTGCCGTGAACAGGGACTATGTTATATCTTGCATGAATAAATGAATTGACAAGGAGGGAAAAGGTGAAACAGTAGCTCATCTTGCAAAATGAAATCTTATAGAATGAGAGATCTCTGAAGTTGTGAATACTTTTTTCAAATCACTCTGATGACTATATATGGATATATATCCTTAGCCTATATCATACATACAGCTGTAGCTCATCTGGATTATGTTCCATGAAAACACCTTACTTAAACTAAAAAAAGAAAGAAAAAGGGAAAAAAAAAACTCAGCCCTGAATTTCGTTTTCACCATGAGACACAGCTGTGTTTACAGCCTGCTGTCCCAAAGCTACTTTTGCCTCCTACTCCTTTACTAACCTGCCAGCTTCAAATAATTGCAAACGCACGCACACACGTACTTAGAGGCTACTACGCAGTGACATGTATAGCCCATAACAACATCCCCAGCTAATACTGGCCAAGATCCCCCTCCTATAGGCTCATACTGGGCTGTTTTTTTTCCCTTGCAAAATCTGGGAGAAATTCATGGCACGGTGTCGAATCCCTTGAAGAATATCAGAGCCAAATATGAAAACCCATGCAATATGTTTGTGCCTCTCCTTTGTAACAAGCATGTAAGACAGTCTATCCAACTCACGACTTATTGTAACTACAAACCTTCAGAACTGAAAACATTCCAAAGAGGTAAACTAGACTTGATAGAGAAATATAAGATCCATACAGCACTAATATATGAAGACTATAGTTATTTTCACAACTCAAAGCTTTCAAACACTGTCCAATAACCAGGAGGTTCTGACTGCTTATTATGTAAAGAAAACATGAAGATGGAAAAACATCTGAGCGGCTGCTTCAACGTACCATGTACCTTATTTAATAACGAAGATAATAAAACACAATAATAACGTCAAATTAAATTAAATCATTTCACCAGCATGAATAATGTGAGTTGCTACACACATTTTCATTGTACAGTGCAAATAGCTTAACTCTCAATGGATGAGAAAGCCTGACTTTTACTGATCGTTTTCGGAATGTAATTGCAAATGCCAGAAAAGGCAACCCAAGTGTTTGGAACAGGGGGTGAAGCCTTCGGAAAACAAGCATTTTGATAAATCTTATTCCCTGCTAATGTTACATTCCAAGTAAGCACACTCTGCTAAAGGCTGTCTCACTTCCAGTGGCTCTGGGAAATGTGCAGCTGCACTCTCTGGGAATCAAGCCTGTAAATATCAAATTAGAGTTGGCCCATGCTGTAGTTAGTGTCCGTGTGCTCATTCACTGTGACTTTGATCAGTCCAACTTCGTTAAATGAAGAATCAGAACATGTGCATAAATGCAATTCTGTCAAGAAGTTAAGTATACATGGAAACGTAGATATGAATAGATGCCGAGAGTATAAATGCACACCATTAAATGGTGGAGCACTACACTGAATGTAGGTCAGTGCTGAAATGGAAAAACAAAACAGAAAAGGATGTTCCATGGGCTGAAGTCGTACAGGGATTTGTGAGTTGTTTAACGGCAGAAAGGTTTTCTTTTAGACTTTATCATGAAAGATCAGACCAAAATGTGGATTATGTACAATAAATTGTTATAGAAGATTGTTTTCATATGACACTCTTTTCTCTATCTCACCAGCAAACTTTGCTGTTGTTTTAGATTTTACTTTGCCTAGTTAGCAATGTAATGCTCTTATGAAAGGTTGAATAAGAGTTCATGTAGATTGAATCTTTTGCCCATGTGAAGCTCATTTAACAGTTTTCCAAAGATAGCTTATTGAAGCGGAAACATTATTTGTTCATAGATCAGGTAGCTTCCAATGAAGCTCAGCTCCCCTTTCTGCATGTAATTACCAATAATGCACGAATCCCTGCATTCTGTTTTATTCAAGGCACTGAAATCCCATTCCATGCAGTTTACCAGCTGCTTTCTGTGAAATATCTCAGTGCTGTCATGGAGCTGTGTGTGAGGGAGTTATTAGCATTAGACCATTCGAAATTAGGCAATAGTTGAAGGCTAGATGTGTGCCTTTTAGTTTTATCTTGAACTTGTGAACCGATGCTATGTGGCTGACGTTTCACCTGGTTTCCATTAGTCTTAACGTGTCAGAGATTTCCAAAAGCGAGTCCAGTTCAAAGTTAACCTTTAAAGTAAAAAACTCAAGTCAAATTCTGCACTGACGGTGTTTGTTTTTTTTTTGGACTCCTTTTAACGAAGGGTCACGTTCCTTGTTAACAAGATTTCTGGGCAGAAAACAGTCACCCAGGCTATTTGGCGCATGGTCTCTGAATAGCTATTTTTAGCAAATTTCCACTTTTTTCTGTGGCGTCAAACAGAGGGAAAATGACAGGAGAAAGGGGCCAGCTGAGTCAGTGTGAGCCTGGTTCTCATTTGTGCTGACCTTGTGTTACAGGACTCCCTTGCTCGTGTCACTCTCACTCCATGCAGTAGGAGATAGCAGAGTGAGAGGGGGGAGTAAAAGAAAGAGGGCAGTTGAGATGACACATGGAAAAAAAAGCCTAACAAAACTCCAAGGAGCCAGTCTGGACTTGAATATGAAATCAGATTTTGTGTTACAGAATCAAAACAAATCACCAGAGTTTGACCTCTGTTACCTTGATAATTAGCAAGAAATTGCCAGAATTGAAGGGAATTATTTCAGTTTGGTGCAACTTCAGCCTCTCCGAAGTGTAATTGTTTGTATATTGTTAAAAATAGCCCCACTAATCAGTTTTAAATGTTAGACAAATAAACTTTTCTCTCGATTCAAGTGCAGCACAATCAGTCAGCAACTTTATGAAAAAACTCAGTTTGCCTCTAGAAGAAAATGCATTTCCACACAACTCTGAAATCTTTCCCTGTAAGAGTGTGCAGTTGTCAAACTTTTTGGTCATGGACCAAACATTTAGCTTTTTGCTTAGTGTGTCAGTGTGTGCTGGCCATCAGAAGACTGAGAGCACCCTGGAAAACAGACTGGAATTCCTAACTATGCCAAATTGTTTAATTTTTCTTTTTTTCTTTCTTTCTTTGTTTTCTACAAATGTCAGTTAAAGTTATAGACTTTGAGAAACATGACAATTTGTATTCATTACAATCTCTAATAAAAATACATGAATCTCTGAGGGATAGATTATAAAGATTTGGCTGAGGTAAAGCGAGAGTCAGTGATGCCTAGATTTTCAATCATTTTGGGCCAAATTGATTTCAATCATTACACCCTGGGTGTTCATGGGACCTATCCAGGGCACACCCTGGATAGGTCAACAGGCCATACAGATACAAACCACCTCACACTCACATTCACTGCCAGGGACAATGTGGAGTGTCCAGTTAACCTAACATGCATGTTTTTGGACAGTGAGAGGAAGCTGGAGTACCCTAAAAGAACCTATGCAGACACAGGGAGAACATGCAAACTCTACACAGAAGGGTGCTGGTACCCCCCGGGAATCAAACCAGGAACCATCCTGGGAACAAGAGAACTGTTTGATATAATCTTTTATTAATTATTTTTATCTCTAAGTATTACCAATGTAATGAACCTAAATAGATTAGGAACTTTCACAGACACTTTTAGACTCAGCGGCCTGCTAATGACAATGACCTCAGTATTTCTGAACTGGCAGGATTATGAAGAGCAACAAACCCTTTTTATTTGAATTTATTGGTGTGAGGTAACACCATGTCAGCCAGAGAGTAGAAACTAAATATATCCATCTTTTAACACCACTGCAGCCATCCACTGTTTTTGCTAATTAAGAGGAATGAAACTTAACCCGTTTAATCATGGTCTCCTGCTCTGAGCCTGAATAGGCCATTCAGCCCTGCACGGGTTATACAGTCACCAGCCAGAACATTATTTTTCTGTGTAGTAATTATTCATTTGGAATAATGATGTGCAGACGGGGATCGAAGGTCATGTGGATGGCACCCAGCAGGAAAGCAGAGGGAAAGAGAGGGGAGGTGAACGAGCGATTGTCCCGATTATTCCGTCCTCTCAGCTCCTCCTAATGCACTCCATGCCCGTGTCTTCATGATAATCTCTTTGCTCTGTTCGGGTTTCTGTTTCTCACCCTCACTGCATATTTCTGCAGTGTGTAACTTCAGCAGGAGAGCTTGTCTCGGTGCAATTGCCTGTCAGCCTGTTAGGTCTGTCATAATGTCAGCAGCGGCTCACGGTGTGTTCAGGGTAAGCTTCAGACTCCTAACCCATCATTTTTTCCTCTTCTTTTTATATACAGTATGTTTTTCATGTCCCTTCAGTGTTCATATTTCTCCCTCTGCCTATATGCTATCTATCACACTGTCACGGTACTCTCTAAATCCCTTGTTTCTTCTTGTTTCTTGCCAGTCTCATTTATCCAGCCCCCCCTTTTTACTAACTGGGCAAGATGTGAGCCAAAGGGCTGATGAAGATATAGAACTTGTGGCCCACAAACCAGAAGGTTAAAGTCAAGCCAACATGTAGGATTTAAGGGGCAATGCCACAGGACAGCAAAACAACTTTGTAATGGCACAACAAACAAAAATGGGGAGTTTCAGATTGTTATATGAGATTGCTCTTAGATGGTGAAACTGTGGAAAGGAACAATGACAACTTTCAGTATTTCAAAATACTACAGTTACTCATTTATTTCTCTGTCGCTATGAATAAGATATGTACACCTGATGTTTTCCTACTGAGCAAGCAGCAGATCCCAAAACTCTGTAAGAAGGTGTGGGTTACTGACCCCTTATGGTCAAGGAAACGTCAGCCATTATCCTCTACAGATTTTTCAAATAAAAATAATAACCACAAGCTTTACTCGTGGGCTTAATAGCAGCATTCCATTCCGATTATTCGTCTGATACTCCAAATGTCATGCATGTAAACCTTCAGAATGGCTTCAGTAAGAGCAGAGCAAATCAGCAGGGACGGCAGACCTCAGCGCAAGCACTAA